AGGTGCTACTGGCAGAGACAGTTCCTGACTGGAACAGATCCGGTTCAGGTGCTACTGGCAGTGACAGTTCGTGACTAGAACAGATCCGGTTCAGTGGCTACTGGCAGTGACAGTTCCTGACTAGAACAGATCCGGTTCAGTGGCTACTGGCAGTGACAGTTCCTGACTAGAACAGATCCGGTTCAGTGGCTACTGGCAGTGACAGTTCCTGACTAGAACAGATCCGGTTCAGTGGCTACTGGCAGTGACAGTTCCTGACTAGAACAGATCCGGTTCAGGTGCTACTGGCAGTGACAGTTCCTGACTGGAACAGATCCGGTTCAGGTGCTACTGGCAGTGACAGTTCCTGACTAGAACAGATCCGGTTCAGGTGCTACTGGCAGTGACAGTTCCTGACTAGAACAGATCCGGTTCAGGTGCTACTGGCAGTGACAGTTCCTGACTAGAACAGATCCGGTTCAGGTGCTACTGGCAGTGACAGTTCGTGACTAGAACAGATCCGGTTCAGTGGCTACTGGCAGTGACAGTTCCTGACTAGAACAGATCCGGTTCAGGTGCTACTGGCAGTGACAGTTCCTGACTAGAACAGATCCGGTTCAGTGGCTACTGGCAGTGACAGTTCCTGACTAGAACAGATCGTAGAAAATTGTTTTCTTGTTGCAGCGTTGATGGTGCGCAAATGCGCTGCACTCCCTGCGCAAGCCTACGAGCACAGTTGACATTGTCTTGTATAATAATACTTTTGCTTGTAAAGGCGCAAAACTCAGCCTCTAGCCAAGTCTCATGCGAACCGTGAATTTTTTGTGAAGTCTGACTTTCTGTGAACCATAGGCAGCACGCTGTCCACAGTGTTCTCACAGGCAGCAGCACGCTGTCCACAGTGTTCTCACAGGCAGCAGCATGCTGTCCACAGTGTTCTCACAGGCAGCAGCACGCTGTCCACAGTGTTCTCACAGGCAGCAGCACGCTGTCCACAGTGTTCTCACAGGCAGCAGCACGCTGTCCACAGTGTTCTCACAGGCAGCAGCACGCTGTCCACAGTGTTCTCACGGGCAGCAGCACGCTGTCCACAGTGTTCTCACAGGCAGCAGCACGCTGTCCACAGTGTTCTCACGGGCAGCAGCACGCTGTCCACAGTGTTCTCGACCAATACTCGTACATGGAAGGGGTGGTCGCAAACGTTTTTGTCATCCCTGAAATGACCATGATTCGTTTGGGGTGGGGAGAGGGGGGGGGGGGGGGGGTGCAAGCCAAAATCGCAAGTCGACCGACACTTTACATAATAATTATGACATGAGGCAGAACAACAGAGATTCTGTAGTGCACTCTGCCCATTTTGAGTTGTAAAGTGCACTCTGCCCATTTTCAGGTATTGTGCACTATTTGCAGCAAGGACTTCAGACACTTTACATAATTATGACATATACGTCATGCATGCGATTTTTGTCGTCCACGATAGCAAACTGTGTTCATTTCAGAGGGATGGGAGGGGTCCGAGTACGAAATGAACGATGTTCGTTTCAGAGGGGAGGGGTCCGAGTACGAAATGAACGATGTTCGTTTCAGGGACGACAGAAACCGCCTAAGAAACACTATTTGCTGGACTCAGCGCTTGTGCTTGATTTGTTGATGGCATCTTCGTTAGGTCCACCAATCAACAGTAGTGCGTCTGTGTGTTTGCATGTGCAAATGTAGAGCAGAGTAGACGATGGCATTGAGTTTCAGCAAGTTCCCTCACGGTCTGCTTTCAAATAATTGAAATACGCGAAGGAAACACCGATAGCTCTGGCAATTACAAGGACCGATACTGCAATTCTCTCCAGGTTCCTTTAGTACTCCTTTTGTTTTCTCTTTTGTTTTCTCCTTCTTTTTCTCAGTTTTCCCCACCATGGCTAGTTAAAATTGCCCGCATCACATGCTTATTGGCACTATGTCATCGGGATTGTGGAATAATAATAATAATAATAACAATTGCAGAAAAGAAAAGGACATATGGATACGAGTTAAGAGTAACTCTCCATCACTGTAACTGGATACTATATACAGTCAGAAAGTGCATTAACTAGGCACAAAAATGACAAGAGTACTGAGACATTCGACGTCCTGACACCTAGCTTCAACACATCTCTCCTTGGTATTTCCATAACCTTGAACCTTCGAAGTTGGAAGGCTGTCGGTTAGCGCTACGGAGATGTGTTGAAGCTAGGTGTCAGGATGTCGAATGTCTCAGTACTCTTGTCAGTTTTGTGCCTAGTTATTTGCACTTTCTGACTGTATATAGTATCCAGTTACAGTGATGGAGAGTTACTCTTAACTCGTATCCATATGTCCTTTTCCTTTCCACAAAAATAATACAAGTAATGTTTCCGTAAAACTCTCAGACTCCATTGCAGCGTAGTTTTCACATCGGAAAATATCTCCATTGAAATATTGGCATTAGGAAATCTATTCGATGCAGCTGAGAGCCTGTTATGTACGGTGTGCAATGGAGATATTTTCCGATGTAAATACAAGTAGGGCTGAAACGATTATACCAATTACTCGGTAATCGATCGATAATTCCTTATCAATCAAGTAATTGTTACGTTATAGATTACTCGTTAGGGATTTTGAGTCCAAAAAGTACTGAAACCATCGTTTTTGTGAAGTTTTGAATCAGTTCCCACTGTGAGTATGCAGTTGCCAGGGGCATGGTGCACATTCTGAGGTTAAATTGACTTTATAACTACCATGTTTCTGAGCTACCCTGTCACTAATGCAAATTTGTGGTATTATGATGGCTTAGATTTCGGAAAAAGAGCAATGTTTGCACAAAATTCTGACACTCTCTGCTAACGATTATACTCGATAAATCGATCGTTAAGCTCAAGAGTAATCGATAGGTGAAAATCCACGATCGTTTCAGCCCTAAATACAAGTAATAAGAATAATAAGTGGGTTGTCAGAAAGACTAATCGAGCTGCACACAACATACGCACTGAATACTTGGCGTAGATCCACACCCAGTGTACAGGTATTTTGGCAACAATCCATAAGTTCCATGGAGATTTTTGGTGGTCTAATCGCTTCTACCAACAACAACGACGTTGCGTACTACGTGTAATCTTTGATAACTTAAATCTGAAAAAAATATACTCATGCACTACACTATGTTCAAATAGCTCTCTATGTCTACATCATTAGAAATCATCCAGCTTCTCCTTTTTTCTTTTCTCCTTTTTTCTTTTCTCCTTTTCTGCATCACACTAAGGGGGAGTTCATTTTCGATCTACAGGTTTGGGTAGAAGCTACTTCTTTCGGTAGATGCGTTCCTTTTTTCTACTCAAAAGAGTAGATTCTACCTTTCTCTACCAGCTCTACAAGGCTTGAAGCTGGTAGAAGCCGGTAGAAGTTGGGAGAGGTACAGTATTCCCAGCTAAACCAAGGAGTTGTACACAACTCCATACAGAAGGGAAAAATTCACGTGCATATCGTGAAAAACTACTAAATCCGGTAGAACAGCGTTCGTGCACTTGCCTCTACCATCTACCTCTATCAGTAGAGTGACTCTACTCTACTCTACTCCACCAGGTAGCTAAAAACGAACGCAGCCTACTTCAGTAGCATACTAAGGTTAGGTAATGTCAAGAGTGCATAACCCCAAGAGTGTGCAACTGGGGACTGGCTGCTGTAGGCCCACTGCGCAGCGGAATTCCAACATTACGTCATGCCGCTGAAGCACAGAGGACAAAACTCTGCATTCCGATCCGCGGCCGCGATGCTTGAAACCAGGGAGTAGTACAAGGGCAGCGGATGTGTACGTCGTTTTGACGTAATGTTGGAATTCTGCCGTGCGGATCCCCACGTACAGAGTTGCACACTCTTGGGGTTATGGACTCTTGGTAATGTCAAAATGATGGCAGGCAATCGTGCCACTGTACACAGAAAGATGGGAAGAAATGATCGTCTCTCGTAAGTGACTCTAGTGTGTTGTCATCCACAGTGTGTGATTGAATTTCAAAAAAAGAAAAAGAATTGAAATGTGCTTGTAGCTTGGTACGAGCACACCTCAAAGAACTAAAAGAAAAGAACACTCCTGTTTGTAAAGGTAGGTTTTTCTAGTGTTTCGGGATATAAATGCAAGCGCATGGGAGTGGTTTCACAGGCAGTGGTTTCACAGGCAGTGGCTTCACAGGCAGTGGTTTCACAGGTAGTGGTTTCACAGGCAGTGGTTTCACAGGCAGTGGTTTCACAGGCAGTGGTTTCACAGGCAATGGTTTCACAGGCAGTGGCTTCACAGGCAGTGGTTTCACAGGCAGTGGTTTCACAGGCAGTGGTTTCACAGGCAGTGGTTTCACAGGCAGGGGTTTCACAGGCAATGGTTTCACAGGCAGTGGTTTCATAGGCCCTAAACACAGGGAAGGATTCTATGCACACTAGCACCATTTTTGAGATTATTCGCGTACCCTCGTGAACCCTTGTGAACCCTCGTGAACCCTGTTAGCGTACCCTCGTGAACCCTGAAAATGTGAACAAAATCAGCCAGAAAGCAGTTTTGACCTTAGAAATGTTTCGAGATGAAGGACAATATAGGATTGAGCTACTGTAAGTGCAGGCCTGCTGCATTACAGCCCCCCCCCCCCCTCCACACATACACACGCATGGACACACACACACACACACACACACACACACACACACACACACACACACACACACACACACACAATACGTGCACATACATACGCAAACGCTCACACATGCACACGCCTTCCTTCGTTCCTTCCTTCTTCTACTGGCTATGCGGTTCCCATAAGGGGCAAACCAGGAGACGTGTTGTCCACCGGGTGTGGAACGCCAGACTCAGCGCGCGGGCTGCGTGAACAGCGTTACACTTGTGCCTGGCAATATCCTGTGGCCGATGAAACCTACACGTACATGATATTGCGATGAGGCAACCGGCTCCATGCACGACTTGACTATAGCATCCCGCCATCACTGTCCATCTTGGACAATGTTACCAAGCTGCGCCGGAGGAACGCCAACAGCCATCAAGTCGCACAGTTTGGTCTTGGACATATTGACACAAAGGCCAAATGCACCAGCTACATCCCTGAACGAGGATAGAGCCCTCTCAGCACCAGCATGTGTAACTGCGAGTAGGGCCGAATCATATGCAAACTGACACTCCGTTGGCCGAATTCTGCGATGCTCTGCCAATCTGGTTTGAAAAGACGCTCACTCCGAAAATGGATGCACACACAGATGACACACACGGATGCACGCATGCATGCACCCCCCCCCCCCCCACACACACACACGCACGCAGCTCCCCCCCCCCCCACCTCTCACACACACACACGTGCATGCACGCACGCACGCATGCACGCCCCCCCCCCCACACACACAGGTACTAGGTGCCGATGCCCGCAAAAAGCTGGAACTTACCACTGAGCTCGTCCATCTCCGCGACTTATACGGTGAGCAGGATACACAATTGGCATTCGGACAACATGATCAAACGCCATTCTGCATCACACAGCACAAGCAGCAGAAGAACATGCCGGTAGGACCCACTGAAATAGTCTCACGGTATGTAATATGATGGCACTGTATTTCCCCGAATATATGTTGCACATTTTACACTAAAATTCAAGGGGGTGCGACTTACAATTAAGCATGAATTACTACTGAAGTGAATATATCGAAACAATACGGCTCACACCTGAAAATGGGGGTGCGACTTATAATCGAGTTGCGACATACAATCGAGCATGAATTACTACTGAAGTGAATATATCGAAACAATATTGCTCAAACCTGGAAATGGGTTGCGACTTATAATCGAGGAAATACAGTAAGCAATACACAAGGAGAATGAATGACTCGGCGTCTTCAGAAACAGCATCGACTGATCACGCTTCCATCTGTCGAGGCCGCTGCTAGTCTCAGCCAAACCAATACCAACAGGTGTCACTTGCATTTTCACTGCCACAGTTATTTATTGATTTTTATTTATTTATTCAACATCTTATGGCTTCCAATGGCAGCCAGAACGGGAAGATGTGGGTGATAGCCAACCATGGTAAGAAGAAGGAGAAGATTATATACATGAAAAGGAAACGGTTGCATCTGCAGCCACCTTTATCATGCAGCCACCTCTATCATGCAGCCACCTCTATCATTCAGTTTTCTGTTCTCGAGGTTCGTGGTTTCTCGTAACAAAAAAGCTACACAGTGAACCCTGTGAAAGGCGAACGACCGCTCAAGAGACCTTCCTTACAGATGTGATCCCCTGTTATTAAGGGCGCATTCATACCACCGTGGAACAGTAAACGTTTACTGGCGGTTTTCGGTTGACAAATTGTGTAGACACTGCGATGTGCTGATGGCAAATATGTCAGACTTGTTTCCGACTCATATGCCGTTCATGGTTTGTTCCCCGTTTGTCTACACATGTCGGTTCAAGGTTCAAGGTTCAAGGATCAAGGTGTGTGTGTGTGTGTGTGTGTGTGTGTGTGTGTGTGTGTGTGTGTGTGTGTGTGTGTGTGTGTGGTTGTTGACATGCTGCAGCTGTTGATCAAGCCGGGATACACCCAGAATGAACCTGAGGGAGCGGTGGTGGAAGTTGTTGATGGCAACCATGTCCAGGAGCTGCGAAGACGCTGGGGTGATATGGCACTGCCATCTGATACCGTCAGACACCGCCGTCTACAGTGGCTTGGGCATGTCGCCAGAATGCCAGATAACCGGCTTCCGAAGCTGATACTGTTTAGCTTCTCAGATCCACGCCCAGCCTGTGGGCCACGACTGCGATGGAAAGACAATCTATGACAGAGTCAAACCCAACTGCCAGACTCCAACCCACTTCTACAAGAACAGCCATGTCTTCACTTAACCCCCTTGCTGACTCATTTAGTCCGTCAGTTCCACTACCTTCTCCTACCCACCCAAGTGCACTTCGCGTTCTATTTCTCAACATCAGGAGCCTGCGTAACAAACTCAATGACATCCTACTGCTCACACAACAACTCAACGCCCCGGATATAGTCTGTGTCAACGAAACCTGGCTCAACGCCACTGTTTCGGACCAAGAAATAGCCCTGACTGGATATAGTGTAACACGCACAGACCGTAGTGGTCGAGTAGGAGGAGGAGTTTGCATATACTGGAAGTCCTGTCTTCCAGTAAAACCAAGAGACGACATAACAACTGATGGTGTGGAAAGTTGCTGGTGTGAAGTCGCTTGCAAACCCCGCAGTTGTCTTGTTGGAACGATCTACCGCCCTCCATCTGAACCTGTGAGTTACTGGGACAAGCTAGACGAACATCTTTGCGCTGCTCTAAGGCCACAGCCAAATGCTATTGTTTGTGGTGACTTCAATGTGAATATTGACCTAAGTGCCAGGGACCCTCAGTATCACTACTTATCTGACTTGCTGAACAGCTATGCTCTGCATCACGGTGTTAACAAGTCTACGCGATTTAGCTCAACAGGACAAGACAGCACCCTCGATTTGATACTGAACAATTTTGATCCTTCCACTACAGCGAAGATCATCCCGGTCGCTTTCAGTGACCATGCTGCCGTGGCCAGTGACTTTCACCTCATTGTGCCTCGTGGATCTGACACCACACGTTTATACCGCAACTATCACCGGATAAACCACGATCACTTCCGGCGTGACTTAACCCAGAAGAACTTGTGTAGTATTACCGGCAACCCAAGCGCCATGTGGACCGAGTGGTCTAGCCGGTTTATTGAGGTTTTGGATGTCCATGCCCCACTTCAAAGTAATCACAGAACGAAGAAGCCTTCAGTGCCATGGATTGACCGGCAATTGTTGTACTTACTACACAAGCGGAATAGGTTGCACCGAAAGTGGCGCTCTGCTAAGACACAGGAGACTTATGATGAATTTAGTACAGCCAGACGTGCGGCAACTAGCTACAACAGGACCCGGAAACAGGAATTCTACAACTCCAAATTTCAGCAATGTACTGGAAATGCCAGAGAGACTTGGAAAATAATCAAGGAGTTGACAGGCAAACAGTCGACGTACAGGGATCCACAGTGCACGGTGGATGCGATTCGAGACACTTTTTCGAAAGTTGTGGAAGATCCAGCTCGCCCTGCACAGCTACGCCTACCCCTTGGGCCTCGACCTGCGGTGCACTTCTCGGAATTCTCGCCAGTCTCCATTGCAACTACTCGGAAAATGTTGGAACAGTTGGACACCAGAAAAGCCACTGGGAGTCAGTGATGATATTCCAGCAAGTCTCCTCCAGATGCATGCTGACATCCTGGCACCGTCACTCACGCTACTATTTAATAAGTCATTGAGAGAAGGACAGTTTCCTGCGGCAATGAAGGTGGGTAAGATACGGCCTCTGTTCAAGGCTGGAGACCCCAGCCAACCCAAGAATTACCGACCAGTCTCCCTATTGCCGATAGTGTCGAAAGTGCTTGAACGTATTGTTCATAAGCAGCTTCTGCAGTACCTCAACACGAACAATTTCTTGCCTACTAGTCAGTTTGGTTACAGACACCAGCATTCCACAGCAGATGCCTTAGCGCTAGCTGTAGAGAACATCAATGAAGCACAAGCCGCTGGGCAGCACACAGGAGTAGCATTTGTCGATATGTCTAAAGCCTTCGACAAGGTAAAGCATAGCATTCTGGTTGAGGACCTCTTTGAACTGGGTCTCACTAGCACTGCTTTGCAATGGTTTTCAGACCACTTGATGTATCGCCGGCAATACGTGGCAACAGGACAAACCAGAAGTACAACTTATGACAGCCAGTCAGGGGTTCCTCAAGGGTCAGTTCTCGGACCTTTGCTCTTCGTTCTGTATGTGAGGGATATTGCCGGCGACCTTGCCCCTCATGACGTCACCACTATTCAGTTTGCTGATGACATCTCGCTGCGTGCGAGCAGTCCACAGCCAGAAGTTGTCTCCCAGCGCCTCACTGCAGCAGTTCAGTACCTGGCCACTTGGTTGAAGAAACGTGGATTGATCCTTAACCCATTCAGCGCTACTGGGCCTTGCCTATGGTACTCTGCATATAAAATGCTAAAAACAAGGCGAATAGAAAGTTCTAAAACTCCAGGGTTCTGGCAACTGGGTCCTCAAATATTTTGGAAATAATTGCCAAGACTATCAACCACAGGGTGACAGAATCGATACAGTCCCCGAAAAGTATAGCGCTTCACAATAGGAGACGCAAGTTTGCTCAAATTGCGTGAAATACGCTAAATGTGTGCAATTGCAGCTGAAAGATCGTTGAAAAGAGAAGAAAAAAAGACGCATAGTGTTCCCAAGCGGGATTCGTACCGACGACCTATCGTACAAGAGGCAGGATCATGATCCAGCTGACTAACAGTGCTTTTACACGCCTGATAGTGACAGAAATCACATAATTTCCCATGACGTCTATAGACGTCATCCCGCGCATGGGGGGCATTTTCAATGACGTCTATAGACGTCATCAGCGTTCAATGGGTTAACGAGACCAAGACGCAGATACTCGCCATACCACACCATAGAGCTGCAGCCCTCGACATCAATGTTGTATGCAATTCACAAGTCCTACCAGTAGTCACATCTGCCAACTACCTTGGCCTGCATTTTGACTCGGACATGAGTTGGACCACAATGGTGGACCATGTTGCTCGTCGTGTTGCCGGCAAAATTGCTGTCCTGCTGCGACATGCTTCCTCGCTGCCATATCCATGCCGACTCACCTACTTCAGATCTATCATTTTGCCTGAATTTTTGTATGCTTCTATTAGTTACTACCCGTATTTGACAGTTGCCCAGGAACAACGGCTACATAGGCTGTTCAAACGTGCCGCTCGGGCAGTCTGCAAGTCGCCACCATGGACCAGTACTGCTCCCCTGCTAAATCGAATGCATGTATGTGATCTACAGGTTTCTGTGCACTTGAATATGTTTTGTTTCATCTGGCGATGTTTGCATGATGCATGTAGCACCCTGTTTGAGTCCTTTTTTGCTGTCGTGCCCGCAACTCGCACTCGGGGAGGCCAAAGCAACTTGCTTGTGGTCCCACCTGCTAGCACTGCTCGTTCTGCTAAGCGCCTAACGCACGCTGGAGCCATTATGTGGAATAGATTGCCACCAGCAGCAAAATGTTCAAATAGGTATTTGGATTTTAAATCTCAAGCCTTGCAGTATATATTATCAGCGACATAGGTTTTCCAATGCTCACTGGATTGATATCTGTTCGTTGCAACCAACCTTCCGTTTTTTTTCCTTTCTCTTTTTCTGTTGTATCTACTTTTCCACAATATCCTTTAACATGTTATTCACAGTGGGTCCAATGTTATTAGCCATTTTGCCTGTTTTGATTTCCACTATAAATAAAAGTATACAAATAAAAGTATACAAATACCTCGTCGCACGTGATCGTCGTTTCGGTGGCACAGTGAATTGGCTCACTTTGGCTCAGGATCGCCCAGCATGGCGCGAGGCAATTGCCAAGACTCCGGATGATCTCGTGGAGTGCA